CCATGACTTTGCTCTCCACTGTAAATTAACAACAACAACAACAAAATCTCAATTAATATAATGTTAGTGGAATTTCCGTTAAAGGTAGATGCGAATGCACACACACATATGCTTATACATAAGAATGATTTGTTTCAACATTCATTCAAACAAGCTTCTCCATTTCATTCACCCGTCGATCCTTCCGCCCGAAAACATTTTCAACGTTTTTACGCATTTATTGAACAATTACTTGAGTTGTTTTCATTTAGAGCAGCATCTCGATGATGATTTTTCGTTAAATTTTTTCTTCTTCTTCCTTCTCCTCCTCTTCATTCATTTCAATTCATGCTGACTTTACGTTACTTGGCTATAGATTTCAACGCAAATGTTTTCCTCTCCTTATATGGAGGTTGTGGAGGTTTTCATTCAAGAATCATATTTGAAGTTGGCCCATAAGCTGTGTTGTGTGTCTCTGTCAGTTTGCCTATCAGCCTCTTTGGAAGCAAATGGGGTGAGGACAACACATACAACTGGCCGCTTACCATTGAAGACTGTGTAAACGTTGTTGATTTTTTCGGTTTCTTTAAGCCGCTTAAACGATTAAAAAACGTAACAAACTCTAAGAAAATGTCACAAATGTCGATCAAACTCAAAATGTTAAGAAAACGAAAACGGCCAAAAGTTAATATTGGCCGGGCGGACGGACGGACAAACCGATATGTGTGTAAGGCAGCTTACTGCCAGCTATTCAATGGCAGCAGCGGCAACAACAACAATATCACCTTGTTAAGAGATTGTTTACTTTTAATTGAATTTAATTTTTCACTTTTCCTCTTCGACTTCTTATTTTTTTTTTTTTTTTGTTTTTGGTTTTCGTCCAAAGAGAAGTCAACGACAGCTAGCCGGGCAGTCAATCAGCCATCCATTGAACCAGCCAGTAAATGTATTTAGGTTTGTTGCCGCTACCGATGTTGTTGTCGTTGCAATGTCTAAATTTCTATTGAAATCGAAACAAAATATCAGTTACATTTCAATTTTGTTGTGATCATTTGTTTCCATTGTTGTTGTTGTTGTATTTTTTTATTTATTTCAATTTGATCTTGCCATAATATTAAATTACACTTCACTGCCGTCGTTACACCAAAAAGAGGGGGTGTAAATGTCAAAATGAAAAGTTTTGACAGGTCTCATCAAACAGTTGTAGATTGCCTGTCACTGCTGTGGAATGGTTCAATGCTTAGGCATTCAATCCCTCCAGCCAATCTACGGCTAAATTAATCTTAAATGTTTTCAACAACATTGTAGGAGGTTTAGTATTTATCTAGCTTATTTAAAGTATCACCCCGAAAAAAATCCCTTCAATATAACAGTCGGGCAAGGTGTGTCCATTTTAGGAAGTTTTGTTTATTATAGTTGTGCTATGAACCTTAATGCTTAGTAAAAAACGGCAGCCAATGGCATTTCCTGGTGCAAACTACTTTTACTGGATCATCAGAGATATTTTATATATTTATGTGATGCGATAGTAAATATATATAAATATATTAATATATATATTTTGGGAGAAGTCGTAATTTGTATAAATTCCTGGAGAAACTTACAGCCATTTCTTAAGACCTTTACCCTAGGCCTTTGAGAAAATTTAAATAAAAACACGTAAAAAAGCTGTAAGTTCGGCCGGGCCGAACTTTGAATACCCTCCGCCATTTGGTACAAATTTGACAATTTTCTGAAAAAAATTCTGTTAAAATCTAAAAAATATCGAAAATAGCCGTATATTAGCGTCTATACGACGACGTGGACCGGTATAGGCAACTTTTTCATAAGCTATTACAATAATCAAATGCAAAACATGAAAAAAAAAATCTGCTTATAATGTAGCTAAAACCATCAAAATATTGAATATAGGGAGGTTCCATGGGGGCTATAAAACGTGGACCTGCACAGACAATTTTCTGTCTATGATTTTAGATTTTAGAAGTATTTTTCAACGGACCTTTTTTTGAATATTTGCAAATTCTTCCAAATGGTGAACGGTATTACAAGTTCAGTTCTGTCGAATCTATTGCTTTTTATTTGTTTTTATTAAAAATTATCTATTTGTTAAAAAGTATCTAATAGAGAACTTTACGCAACAGAATGTGGGTCCTATTGTGTACTCCAAATCCCAACCATAAGATATATGAAAATATGTTTGAAAATCATCCAACTGTTGAATGTTCAGGGTTTCCAGTATATGGGAGCTATACGAAAACTTGTACATGGGCAGACAAGATATGGGACCTTTTGTGAACTCCAAATATCAACTTTGGAAAAATCCATTGAAAATGTGTTTAAATTCACCTAAATACCGAATATCGGGCATTATGGTATATATGCTGCCATTTGTAAGCCACTCGTCCGACAGCTGTTAAAATTATTCCAGTGACAGCTCATAATATTGCTTACAAGCGCACAAAAGCATTTTGCTGAGAATTTTCCGCAAAAAAAGTTATTCGTAATGGAATTCAAGCGTGCTAGTGTGATTTCTGTGATATTTGGCTGGAAAACCACAAGTGGCTATAGTAAGGGCACTCCAGCATTTAAATAAATCTTTTGTGTCTCGTAACATCGCTCGTTACCGTGATACCGGTAACGACGTCAAGGAAGTGGACGAAAGAAAACAGCAACATCAGCAGAAATGCTTCGAAAAGAAAAGAAGCGACTTGATCGAAATCCGCGTCGCAGTGGCCGAAAAATGGCTCGTGAGCTGAACATAACGCAATATTCCAGTCTGCAAATATTGAAAAATGAACTCGGGGTAAAGCCATTGAACTTCCAAAAAGTGCAAGAACTCACACCGCAACAGAAAGAAAATAGACTCAATCGAGTGGTGAACTGCCGTTTGGGTTTCTCCGTTGTCCAGCAGTTTGTAAACAAACAAAATGACCCAAGAATGGTTACAAAATGAGGTTCCTCGCTTCAGTACCAGCGCACAATGGCCACCAAAATCTCCGGATACCGATCCGTTGGACTATTGTGTCTGGAGTTATTTGGAAAGCAAGGTTGGCACTAAAAAATACCAAAGTGTCGATCGTCTCAAGCAAGCGCTTCGCCGGGAATGGGCCAAAATAACGCAGAGCAACAGTCGGGCAGCGTGTGACTTTTTCTTTGACCAGTTCGAACAAATCTAAACTTATTCTAAAATTTGATGCTATTTCCGACATTTTTGCTTTCATTCCATAAAATTAAAAAAAAAAATAAAAATGTTGGCGTTTGACTTAGTTGCAGTTTGGCGTGCACGTCTATTTCTTGATAATTTGGGAAAAGTCATATTTTTTATATCTCGATCTCAATAAAATTTGGCAGAGATATTTTCGAGCAGTATCTAATGACCGGTATCAAATACAATTTTTATACCCTCTACCATACTATGGAGGGTATATTAACTTTGTCATTCCGTTTGTAACTCCTCGAAATACTCATGTCAGACCCAACATATTATATATATTCTTGATCAGCATAAAATTCTAAGTCGATTTAGCCATGTCCGTCTGTCTGTCTGTTGTAATCACGCTATCTTTCGAACGAATTGAGATAGAAGGCTAAAATTTTGCACACCTGTTTATTTTTCCAGTAGGCAGGTTAAGTTCGTAAATGGGCCATGTAGGTCCACGTTTTCATATAGCCCCCATATAACGGTACCTCCCTATATTCGGTATTTTGATGATTTTTTCTCCATTATTCACCGGAATAGTTTCAAATTACGTATTTAGAGTTCGTAATTGGAACTACAGTCTGTGACAGAAAAATGTCTATGCAGATCCAAGTCTTCGTATAGGCCCCATATATCAGTACCTCTATATATTCGATATTTTGACGAGTTTAGGTACAATACACACCGAAATTGTTTGAGATATCGTATTTGACGTTAGTAATGGATGTTATAGCCTGTGACAGAAAATTGTCTATGTTGGTCCAGGTCTTCGCACAGCTCCGATATAATGGTACCTCCCTATATACGATATTTTGATGATTTTAGCTACATTATTCACCGTTTATTTCAAGTTTTGAATTTGAATATGGTAATGGCTAATGGCATACAATGCTTATGTAGGTCCACGTCGTAGAGACCCCAATATAACGGCAATATTCGGTATTTTTAAAATTTAACAGAGTTTTTTAAGGAGTTTATTTTTTTAAATTTCCAAATTTGTTCCAAATGGTGGAGGGTATTCAAAGTTCAGCCCGGCCGAACTTACTGCTTTTTAACTTGTTATGGAATGCATATTACTCATGTGAGGGTTTTTTTACACCAAATCGGATGAAAAATACACATGGGAGCTATATCTGAACCTATTTTCACCAAAATGTGAAGCACTCGCTTTTAGACTAAATTCCGTCCAAAGTGACAATAGTCAGTTCATTTGGGCTGATATTAATAATTTGGCGCCATTAAACCACCCAAATCCGGCAATTACGACTGAATTCATCCTAGACCAGTACTTCAAATCGGTTCAGATATAGCTATAGCTCCCATATATATGTTTTATCCGATTTGGGGTTTAAAGTCCCTCACACGCGTAATATGCATTCCACAAAAATGATATTTGATACCGGACATCAGATACTGCTTGAAAATACCTCTGGCAAATTTTATCGAGATCAGTTCAGATTTACATATTCACCTGATTTTAAGGTCATTGTCCACCATATATGTAATATCAGCCCAAATTGGATAGATTTTTTTCAGAGTTTGATATAGTTCTCAAATTGTGACTACTCTAAAGCCAACCTCCAAAAAGGTTACTTTTTGGCACATAATAAATGGAAATATTAATTTATTGCTAGTTCCGACCTCAGAAATGGATTCGAAAGTCATTTTTGGGTGCGTTTTTAATAAATTGATTAAACATGTCTTAATCATCCAGACGTTTTGGGGTAGTTGTGAAATTTTGGCACAGAATTATTATTATTTTTTTTTTATTTAAATGCAAATTGCATTGCCTGGGACGAAATTGCCAAAAATAATCACTTACCACAATCACTGTCACTATCGTCTATTGTGCTGGCCTGGTCGCCACTTACACTGCTATCACCGCCGCCGCCTCCACCCGCAACACCCCCACTACCACCATTTCCCGCACTACTGCCAATGGCTATATCCCTAGGATCACTTCGCAAATATAACGGCTGGGGTGAGCGTGAGCGGTCGTCGGGATCCAGATTTTGGGAGCTCTGTGTTGCTGCTGTCCGATATGCCAGATCATCTAAATCTCGCAAACGTTCTCGTTCATTGTGGCGCTGCATGGCGGCATAATGAGCACTGGCGGCAGCACCAAGCATTTCACGTCCGCCGGCAACGGAAAATCCCATTAAGGCCGATTGCGGTAAATGGGCCAGGGCATGAGGATGATAAGGTGGAAAGTGTGAAGAGGTTCCGGCTGGTGATGATGATGAAGACGACGACGGCGGTGGTGGGGGTAAATGATGTTGTAACGAAGATGTGGAGGAGTGAAGTGGTGGTGCTGGCGGCGGCGGTGGTGAAGAATTTGGAGAATTATTATTTTGATGATGACGATACTGAAGACGATGATGACGTTGTTGTAATAGATGCTGTTGTTGAGCGATGTAATGTTGTAAAGCGGCCTGATGTTGCTGTTGCGGATGTTGATGCGAGTACGGTGGTGGCTGAGGATTTGGAGGTGATACCGGACCCGCTGCTTGATGTGTTTGTTGGGCTGACAAAATATCCGTTATCATAAAACGTGATCGCGATGCATGCAAGGCCGTGGCCAGTGGGTCGGTGTTCGCCCGAGCTGGTGACAAATCTACCGACGAAGGATTTGTAGCCGTTGTGGACATTTCCGGAGGCATAGTTGTCATTTGTTAAATATTTTGTTGGGAAATTTATGAATTATTTTACGTAAAAAAATTAACGAAAATATTGCACTTGAATGAAGTTGTTTTGAATTTTTTCAAATTGTTTTGAAAAATTATTTTTTCACTTGACACTTGAGCTTGGAAAACTTTTCGTTTGAAGGATACAAATAACCGATTAATTGATATTATGATTTTTTGCAATTATTTTTGTCATTTGCAAAACTAAAACTACAATTTGATTTATTATTGCTTTTTATTTATTATTATTTTTTTATTGTTGTTAATCTCATCAAATCATACGTCTGTCTCATAATCATAAATAAGCATACGGCACAGATTTCACGTCTTAGCTTAAATGCTGTTCGACCGATACTAAAGCCTTACCAGGTGCTTTGGCAAGTCAGTGTTTTCTGTGGACATGTGTGTGTGTTTGTGTGAGTGTAATTTGGTGGGGGGACTCCAGCAATGGGAGAAGAAAAACCAGTAATTTTTAAATTGCTCCCAGTGTTTTTTTTTTTGTCTTTGCCCACCTTCCTAACCCACTCACTAATGACTCCATTCTCTTTGAATATTTACACAACAATAAGGTTGGCGCTCTCTCTTCTTCTTTTTCATTTCTACTCTATTCATTCAACCATAGAAACTCCCCTTTTGCAAGTTGCTCTCCACCATAGAGTTGTGCTCTTCTAGCAACAGTGTTTGTTGGAGTAAAGTATTGCCACACATTTTAATGGGTTTCATTGGAGCCCACTTGTGCTCTCTCTGCCAAAGCCTTCATATTGTTTGCTCACTGTCTGTGTGTGTGTGTTGTGCGTGGCTATTCCTTCTGCATTGTTTGGGGTGGTCATTTATTGGTCATAATTGTTTTCAATTGACATTCATTATTCTCCTATAAAAACAATTTTGTTCCCCCTCTCGTGTTTCTGAAATTACTCAACAATCAAATAAATGTTGTTACTCTCCCGGGCTCATCGTCATCGCTAAAACACAGTCAATTGCTACTCATCCATATAAATCAACACAATTTGGATTTTTTTATACCCTACAACACTATGTGTTGGGGGTATTATAAGTTTGATTGGCCCAAAAATTATGTAACACCTCGAAATATTGGTTTCCCATATAGGAAAGTATATATGGATCTTCCTAGCTCGCCGAGCTGAGTCGATCTAGCTATGTATGTCCGTCCGTCCGTCTGTCCGTCTGTCCGTCTGTCCATGTTAATTTGTAATCACTCTACAGGTCGCAATTATGGCCCGATCTTTACGAAATTTAAAATGTAGGTGGGGTTAATGTCAGAATAGAACCCTATTTCTTTTGGAGATGATCGCCAAATGTTTAGGGGTTGAAATGGACCAAAAACTGAAAAAATTCCTGATTTTGCACTTTCTCTACTGGTCGCAATTATAGACCAATCGACGCGGAATTTCGCATGTAGCTAGAGTTTAGGGCGGGGAAGAAGCCTACCAATTTGGGTGGTCATCGGATAATATTTAGCGGCTAAAATAGACCATATCTTTTTTGTTGAAAAAATTCAAAATTTTTCATTAAACCGCGAATATTTTAATTCCCGGCGAAATCGCTAAGCCATGACAAGTTTACTTCTGACCTTTGCATTGATGTTAACATCCAACAAATCGGATATATAGCAAAATATGTGCGATATATATATCTATCAAAGAGGACATGCTTGAAAGATCTCTTATATGTCGAGAACGGCTGAACTGATTTCGACAGTTCTCATTAATTCAGAATGGCCTCTTGGCAGGAAAGAAAAAACGTCTAAAAAAATCGCATAAAAATATCTCTCTATAGATGAAAATATTGATTTTCTAAAATTTTCTCATATTTTTTCAATTTTGTCATATTTTTGGCATATTTTCATTTTGAATTAAACATTTGGTAATATTTCTACAGCTAACAAAACTAAGTAGTTAGGATATCAGGATATCATATACAGATCTCATTTATGGCCCGATCCTTACGAAATTTTGCATTGGGATAAGATGAGGGTCAGAATAGAAGCCTACTCTTTTTGGAGATGATCGCCATATATTTAGGAGTTGAAATGGACCAAAAAACTGCAAAATTATCAGCAGGTCGTAATTAGCGCCCGATCGTCACGCACATTTGAATGGGGGTTACCGCATATTGCAAAAGCCAAGCAGTTTCGGATGGCCATCCAAAAATATTCAATGTGTGAAATAGTTTGCCAACTTTTGTAGACAAAGTGACTTTTTGGAGAATTCAAAAACACAGGAAAGACGCACTTCTGACTATTTCGTTAACGCTGATTTCGTTGAAGAATATAGTCAAATGTCTGTATCTCATATAGATGCGTTTCAGTCGAAAACCAATAATAAATGTTAATCTTTGGCCACTTCTGAGAGATTATAGGTCTTTGGGAAATATTGGTTCCAGATCTAGGAAGACTATTTACGTGCAACATCTACCAATAAATTGGAAATGAGCAAATTAGTTTAAGTTGCTATTAGAGAACGAAACCTGATGGTTTTCTTTTATTATTTTTCACAATATCTTGTGGAATTCTTTCGAGTATCTCGCCTATATAAACTGTATCGTTTATTATAGTGTTGTAGGGTATTCAACGGTCGGCCCTGGTCGACTGTAGCCTTTGCTTACTTGTTTTCTCGATATTTTCTCTATTTGTTTAGAATTTGTTTTTTATTCTGCCTGTGGATTTTACAATGAATAAAAGACAAATTATTCACAACATTATTGGGGCTCATGAATTAGTTAATAATACTAAAAGTAATTGAAATATTATCTCTTATACGTTATAGTCATTAATATTTTACCAATTAAAGGAAATTATTGATTATTAAATTATAATTGAAACCAAGAAACTCCTTTCGAATACAATTTCTACTAATGATTTTTAAGGGGATGAAAATGCTAAAGTAGTAATACAAGTATGAAAGATATTAACTTTGAATAGGTATGTCAAGTGAACAATGTTGTGGGTCCAACAATTTTGTATTGGAATTTGAAAACTGTTCACATTGCTAGAAGAATAAGTAAAAGTGGTAGAAAGCTCTATATCTTTATTTTATGTATTTATTTGTTTTTTTTTTTTTTTTGCAATTTTGTAAGACCTAACACTATATCTTCCAGAGATTATTAAAATACATCTCTGAATCGGAATTATAAACAGGTTATCACGGAATTTTTCCAAAACGAAGTCACAAAAGAATATACATCTACTTTTTTGAATGAAAACATTTGTACAAATTTTATGGAAAGAACAAATGAAAAAGAAATAAGTTTTGTGGGCCTAACGTTGAATACCCTCCAACGTTTGGAACAAATTTGTTAATTTAAAAAAAAATTATAATAATACAAATAAAACTTATAATCCACTAAAAAATTTATTAAATTCTTAAAATTACCGAATATAGGGAGTTACCGTTATTTTGGGGTCTATACGAAGACGTGTACCTGCAAAGGCAATTTGCTGCCACAGGCTGTAGTACCCATTACAACGATCAAATACGAAATATGCAACAATTGCGGTGAATAATGTAGCTAAAATCATCAAAATACCGAATATAGGAATGTACCGATATTCAGGGGCTATACGAAGGCGTGGACCTGCACAGACAATTGTTTGTCATAGGCTGTAGTACCCATTACGAACTTGACATACCAAATTTGAAACAATTCCGGTGAAAAATGTCGCTTAAATCGCCAAAATACCAAAAAGAAAGAGGTACTTATGGGGGCTATACCAAAACATGGACCCACATCACCCATTTTCAATACCAAAAGTGGTCTGCAGAACATTTGAGTAAAATTTTATCAACCTACTTCATTTCGTTCGGAAGCTAGAGTGATTTCCACAGACGGACGGACGTTGCTAAATCGACATAGAATTTTATGCTGATCAAGAATATATATATACTTTGTGGGGTCTAAAATGTATGAGGTGTTACAAACGGAATGACAAACTTAATACACCCTCCATACCATGGTGAAGGTTATAAACACAAGTGAAAAAGCAGTAAACTCTGCCGAACCGAGCTTTGAATACCCTACACCATTTAGGGGGATTTTGCAAATTTTCAGTCCGTCGAAAAAAACTGCTAAAATCTCGCGAATATAGGAGTATATTTAATTTTTAGGCCATTAGTATATTCAAATAAGAAACTTGAAACCGTTATATGAGTGCTGTACAAAGGAATTTCAAATTCCAAATTTGAAATATTTCCGGTGAAAATCGTGACTCAAATGATCAAAATAACAATTATATGGGGACTATACCAAAACCTAGACCTATATAGAGAGTTTTATGCAAGGATGTTTCTTACATATTGGAAACACATCCGTGCTAACTATAATTGAGTTCGGAGATGTACAATATCGCTCTCTCGTTCTCATACCTAACTTAAAGAAGTTTAAAATATGACAAAAAAAAAGATCACAATAAGCAAAAGAAGTTCTTGAGCAGATCGGAACTTCCAGAATATTAAAAAAAACATATCTTTAGAAAATTGTATATTTTGTTTAGAAATTTATTAAAAATGTATATCTCACAATTAATATAAAATGTGCTCAGGAGCTCACAACCCCGTATTTGTCGTTTTTGCCGACAGATGTATTCCCTTAGCCTATACCCGTTTATTAAAATATATCTTGACTTCTGTTATGATTGTTCAAAATGTTGGCCCTTTATTAGGGTGGTACCGAAGGAGTGGGCCAAAATATTTACCATTTCGCATCAAATCTAAGTCTGACAGAAAATAAAAAATGCGGTGTGGCAGTTTTAAACTATATCGACTACTTCATCCACTTTATTTAAAAGAGTTGCATCTATTTTTTTATTTTATTTTATTTATTTATTTATTTATTTTTGTAGTGATGATTTTTTTTTTTTTTTTTTTTTGGAGTAGGTGCGAGAAGGGTGGACCGATGTATTCCACATTTTAAAGACAACATTATTTCGAGAAATGAACCGGTGAGTTGGTGGGGATGTTTGTCAGAAGATTCTGTTATTTTTCAGATTCACTTAAACAAACCCTTCTAAATCATTTATAATTTTTTTTTCTGAAAAATTAAAATTCGATTCGAAATTGTATTTTTCGCATAAGAGACTTTTATTGCATCCATTAAAGTCGCTCGACATCGGCAATTTTTTATGGTATCGTAGCAGCGTGACCATGGTTGCCAGTGTTAAGACGTCCATTTTTAATTAGCCCTGATTAAAACCGGTGGAGTGGTTGTTGTCCATTGAAATTTGTAGATCATATAATTTTATTATCAAAATGCCTATTCTGTTAAGAAAATTCATTGCGCTTTTTTTCCATTGAAGGACGAAGCTCATTTCTTGGCTCAATGAGTATGTAAATAAGCAAATTTGTCAAA